AGAGGAAGCATAATATTATGGCCTAGAATATTCGTTTAATGAGAGAAGGCGATAACAGTATAAGTAAAATGAGAATAAAGCAGTTAATAAATGAATAAAGAATTATTAAGTATACTGTGAGTGATTCAGTTCAGTGTCATTAATGAGATTTGTCGCTCCATCAATTAGCGAGGAAATCGTGTAAATAAGTTTATTTGTGAGTTAGGCATGCCCTAGTCTCGTAATATCTGTTCAAACAGTGTTTGTGAATTTAGGCCTACAACTTGTGTTAAAGTGATCGTAGCCTGTAGCAAACATTATTGAAGAAAGTAATTAATTCGTTATTGTTACGTAGGTTGGACTTGGCATTATTTTTACTAAATAATTCGAAAGAACTCGCCTGATAATAAAATATCTTACCATAATAACATCAGCAAATTCAAGATCGATATCACGGATCTTTATATTATCAGCAAAATTCTATTGTCCATAAAAAGACTTTCTTCTGGACAAGACATCTTTCTTGTACAACCATTTCTCTTCTTCTAGGTCATGTGTACATATACTTGCAGAAATTAGTATTTCTAAGCGAGAAGCATTCCTTTAAACTCAGTAACACAAGCGTTCTCGTAAGGGTAATACATATGTACGAAAAACAGAAAACTTCATAGTAAAATACCGTGATCATGGTACTAGAATTTCTCCCTCCTACCTACTCTGTGATATTTTCAGGTTAAACTGTTTTCTACAAACATTAATAGCTAGGTTTAATTTACAACGAGGGGGGGATTGGCAGGGTAAATCACAAAGTAATACTGAATTTAAACTGACTGAGTGTCAGATATAAAAGACTGTTTAATGTAAGTAGCATTATTAACTGATTTATTTTGTGTTTGTAATTCATTGATGTCGAGGCTATCGAAAATTATGTGCAATCCATTGATATTGAGACTATAGAGATTTCTAGAAAGCCTAAGTGATAGACATGTAAATAACGACGACCAGACGAGCGGAAAGAGAGAGAGAAAAAGTAAAGTCACGCGAAAGAGAAGATCGTCAGAGAAAAGATAAACATAAAGTTAACTGTCGTGCGAGTGAAAGGCCTAACGGTTGCTATGTTAGAGTGAGATTAATAATTTTGAAAGCGATAAGGAGAATAAGTTGTCTCGTCAAAGAGCATTATAAAGTAATTGAAATCGCCTAAGTGGACTTTGACAAAAGGCAGAAGATTATTGTGAGTAGAGAAAAAAAGCAGACAATTTTTTCGAAGTTCAGGATACAACTGCGGTAACTCAACGATAACGTAAGTGAACTATACATGGACACTTTAGCGATAAGAAATATAGAAAAATAGTTCGGCTTGTCAACTGAATTCTAAAGTGAACTTTGACAACAACAACAAGAGAACTGAATAGTGTTTAAGATACAACAACGATCTCCATAGTATAAATAATTTAGTATATACGTTTAACTTGTTTCGAATATATATATTCTTTTAAAAAACAAGTGGAGTGAGTGCTATTCTAATATTATCGAATTTATTGTCAACAATTCGTTGACACCTACTACAGAAGACTCCTTAGCCCAACACACCCATATACTTACTTTAATATATATATATATATATTAATTATATAATTAAAAAAATAGGGGAGAATATTACATCATAAGAAAGGATAGTATGAATTTAACACAAATCTTAGATGAAAAATAATTAATTATAATATTACGTACAAAATGAAAGAAAAGAAAAAAGAAACAAATCAGCTAAAAAACAGACATATACCACCTGGGCACATACCATAAGGTGGGTAGTTATGCAATGTGCCCTGGTTTTTAAGGTTCTGGCAGAAGTAAGACCCAAATTACGATGGAGGTACATCGTCTATCCAGCTTAACCACAGCTTCGCAGGCCTCACATTCATAATAATAATAATAAAAAGAGCAGATGTGGGTGCTCTAGCCCACAACGTTCCACGTTTTTACCTTTTTACCAACTTTCACTGTCTGCAACCAGATTTTGGAAGGTGGCTGCTCAAAAAATATGAAGAAAGAAATAATTTTAATACATTCAATTATGGGGAGACAGTAAAACTGTCCTTGAAATTGGCATTCCAACCCCCATAATGATGTTTGGACATAAATACCACGATTTTAAGGTATTACTATACAAGCCCAACCTGAATTAATAGTATAGCCCCCATCCTCCAACCATCCATGCTACTGTCGAGATATTCAAAGGTTTTATAAGAATTACATAGTAGCAGGTCTTATATAGGGAAAGTGATACATCTACATCAATATAACTATACAAGATACAGTCCAAATGAGTAATTCCTTTAATTTCCCCTACAAAAATTATAAATTTTACATATTGTTACGTCTCCGTTCGTTAGTTAATTTTCCGTTAAAACTTTTACCGAAGAAACTTTACCGATAGAGTCCTTTCTTAAATAAAACTGGTTTACTCTTTCTGAATACAACTTTACGATACACTTAATTTCAACAGTCGCTCTATAACAACGCTATAACTCACGTCTCACGTGGCCAACAATATTTTGTCCGCATACATTCAATTACTCATTACCTCTGTTGTCCCGTCACGTTGTGAACGTCTTATATATACCAGACTATCCCCAATCCAGTAGTCTCCCGATAATTCATGAAGGTTCGAGAAGGACGTAGCGTGATACTAGTCACGTGACCTCGCTGACGCAACACAACGAATGCTGCAACTGCGCATTCTGTAAGTCGTAACAAATAAACTGTACAAAATGCTGGTTTTTTAACTTTCAATCTTTTTTTTACCAAAAATAAAACATCAAATGATAGAAAACGAAAATTTTATATTAATTAATATCATAATACAATAAAAAAGTAACATATCAAACAACACTTCTCCGACTGACGTGAACATAAACAAAGATCATAAAACATTTGTAAACTAAAATTTTATTCTAGATCAATATAATTATTTTACACTATGTATTATTGTTAATATTCTTATGTTAACTCTTATTCTCAATTCCTTTTAGAATGCAGTTATTGTTTTGTTTTTAGACCATTTTTTAGCCAAGAAAATTTATACAAATAAAACGACTTTACAATATACAAGTTATCTTATGAAATCGAAATGCCGCCTGCTATTTTCATCATTCTTTCGTTTTCTTTTCGTAATAGCACGTTTTCCTCAGCGAGTTGCTTTATCTCTTCACGGAAGATTCTTATTTTTTCCAACTGCTCTCTTTCATTGAACTCCGAGGTTTGAGCCTCCCCATCACACACAGTTTCTGACGAAATACTTTCTGCTTTTGCATCCTTCAGCTGCAGTTCAAGTTCTTCGATACGATCTTCAAGTTGCATGTATTCTCGAACAAGTTCGTTTTTTGACATAGAATTCAAACGTTCCGCGTGAATGTCATCGTAAACTTCTGAAAATTGCTTCTGTAAAAAAACATCTTCATCTTCCGGAGAGCTATAAAATTCATCTGAATCTCCACTGTAATCATGATGGCTGTTTCTGTGTCCATTATATATTACTTCAAAATTAGGCTCTTGAACGTAATGGTCGTCCATCAGAAACTGTGTGGTGTTATACGGTGCTAGGGGTAGTCCATGAGCTACCAATTCTGCCCTAATTCTATTTGCTCTTCTTGTTTCTCTTTCTTCCAATTCTAGTTTTTCTTTCCATGAAAGTTTGTTATAAGGTTTCCATTTTTCTTTTTTTGCTTGTATCTTCCTCGGCGATTTTTTATGTGATTTGCACATGAAATCACCTCCATATCAATTTGTTTCAATATCTCCTCCCCACAATTGCTTTTCTGTTTTTTTGTATCACTATCAATAGATGGATAACTTACTTTTAAGTCCCTAGATGGCTCTGGCGCTTCAAATTCAAACACTTTTTTGTCTCGATTCTTGTTTCCTACCGTCCACTGTATCCGCTAGCTCTGAAGTCAATTTTTTTCGATCTATTTCGCAGTAAGAGAATGTGTCATGGGGGTACATAACTCCCACTCCGTTCATAAATTCTTAATAATTGTTGAGATAGATCTCTGTCAGCCTCTACAATAGGAAAACCTTTCGTACGCTGAATTTCAAAGAACTGACCACACAAATAAAACTCCACGACACTCAGCATTGCCTGTACACAAATAATAACAAACGCGGTTGTCTCTAAACCTTACTGTAGGCTAATTCGTTGATCTAATGTCATGTGTGTTCATCCACTAAAGCAACTAGTTTCTTAGTTGAAAGCATTAAAGCTATCTAAATATGAAAATATACTAATACAATTATTAAAAAGTTAATAAATGCGTAAATTAGTAATCAATTAAATATTAAATTCTTGGCTTAGTGTATTTAAAACTTTCAATACTAAAATCAAAGAACGCGGATTACTACAATGTATAATGTTGAATGCTAGCGCCCTCTCATATTTTAAACATTTTAAATAACCTTAAACAATAAGTTTAAGTGTTTTCGGATTATGAAGAAAAAATTATGAGTTTTGGTTAAATGCATCTCTGAGATAATATTTTAGAAAATCCAATTCATTTAAATGTTACTGTGATATCTATCTGTTTTAGCTAACTTAATCATGTGGACTTTTTAATTATTGTTTAGAAATGACGGATTTAATGTATCAAATATTAGGTAACCAATTTTTTAAATAATTCCATCATCACATAGAATAATGCAATGTTATATTTTACAACACTGTATGTGTATATAAACATATATATATATGAGCTGTCCATATTCATATATATATTAAAAAACAAAACTCATAGCTGATTCTACTTTATAACTAAAATATAGCTCACAGTTCCATAAGAGAACTTATTAAAATTAGCTCTAAATATACAAACAACAACATAGCGTTATCTGGAATCAAAGTTATATTGCAGTAACTTTCTTTATTTTAGAAAAATTATGCTCTTCAACAGTAACAACAATGGGGCTTTAACAAACATATTCTTAACTTTTCTTCATGAATAAAAGACTAATTCGTAACATAGAGTAAATATACTAGAATCCAACTCCCCGAGTGAGGTCCCTAACATCTACTGTTTTCCTGTCTACACATGTTAACAATGTCCCTGTGCTTGACCACGAACAAAGTAACTATCTTCAGTGTCGTAGCCAGATATTAAAATATGACAAGCAGAGGAAGAAAGTGCTAGAAGGTTTAGTGGATACTTAGATTCTTTACAAAAAGAATGGTCAGTTGGAGTAGAATCCTTTTAATACGAATGCTCCAGCGTTTTACAGAAATGGCCAAAGCTGGTTTGCTGCATCTTGTTAAAATGAATTTCTACACTTTCTCACACGAGACAATAATCTCATCTCACCTATATGTAGTTAGAAGTATGATGATAAGAGATTAAACCATTATACTTGCCTTATGGCAGCCACACAACAGTTACTTTACGTTGTGTTCAATATTTTTGTGTTTTATATTTTTTGTCAGACAAAAAAAAAAAGCTGGCCGTTTTACAATCACTTATAAAAATAATAAATAAGCTTTATATTGTTTTTCCCTAAAGCCATTTGAAAATTAGGAAAATATTAAATCTTAATGAAAAGAACAGATGAGTAAAATAAACACATTTTTTAAATTTAGAAATACAATAAGCGATTAAACGCAAAATAACACTCCTGGTGTAGAGCCCTGATCGGTAGTTCAAAATTGGAGACAGCTATACTAGAAATCTTGGTGTCTCTGACCTGGTCGTTTAGAACATGTATCCACAAGGTGCTATTTACATTTTTCACTCCGGCATTGATAATGTGATGTCCAGTTGTGACAGACACTCTCTAAACATAGTATTTTTGATAAGTATAACAAACTGAAGAATAGGGGGCTCATTATAAATTATTACATCATTCATAGTTTCAAAGTAACCAAACAATTGATTAATTATTTATTTTGTATTTTTGTAGTTATGAAACTTAATAAGTAAAATGTTAATAAATGCAAGGGGCAGAAATTTAGTGATAGTGTATAAAGGAAACAATAGTTTTATGTGTTTTGTAAGTAAATTATAATATTTTTCTATGTTGGCCTGATGGATAGGTTCGCGGGATCGGAATACCATCACCGAACATGTTCACTCTGTCCTCCATAGCGACGTTATAATGTCACGGTCAATTCCACTATTCGTTAGTAAGGAGTAGCGCAAGATTGACAGTGGGTGGTGTTGACTAGCTGCCTTCCTTTTAGACTATAGCTTCAAAAGTGAGGTCGGCTAGCGCAGATAGCCCACGAGTAGCTTTACGCGAAATTCAACAAACAAACAAAGAAACTTTATTGTCACTTTTGTTAATAGTATTGATTAGAATGTTATTATTTATCACTATATCTTTTAATTATGAAGATTATTTTGCATTGTTTGCTTAATACTTTGGATTGACGAGTAATCTAAATCTCCTAAGTTAACCAAACTTTGTGAAATATTATTGGGATTACGGTCGAAAATGTCGCTAACAGCGAGGGTACGTATTATAATCATTATCAGTAAGGGCGATATATTAGATTAGCTGTATCCACTACTGGAGAATTTCTTAGATCAGATGTATATAGGCAGCTTTCTTAAGTCAGAAAACGATAAACATCTCCCCCATAAAAATCTCCCCCACTTAGGTTAAATTGTTTTGACATGATACGTACACAAATTTGTTTCTATCTAATTACAAAAATGAAGTTGACATTTCCAGTACCACCCACTTGGGGAGGGTGGGAGCATCGGCGTCCCCGTTCCAGGGAGGGGCAAAGTTTTCCGGGGGGGCAATGTAGTGTGAAATTGTGAATTGAATAAAAAATCATATACATACATGGAATGAATAAAGAAAGAATTATGTTTCTCATTCTCCAGGGGGAGTGGGTGGGGGTAGCAGCTGAGTTACTTGTCACGGTCCAGGATAACTTTGGCTATATGGCCTACACAACAGCCTAGACTCCCTAGAGGAAGAGCACTTGTTTTGGGTCCGGAGATTTCTGTGAGAACCGGTAATCTTATCAACTCACAAGATGATAAAACTGACTGGTAAGACTTTAAATTATAGTATCGGCAATTATTATTACATAAAGAAAACTGGGTCAATCAAGAGATATAGAAACTGGTACTTTTTAATGATGTTTTTGTAGCTGTGTACGAATAACATATTAATAAATACACAAACTAGCTACATTTTTTATGAGTATATATCATCTACTTACTCATTCATAACTAAAGAAAGAAAAGAGTAGAAGGTGCACATTATGCTTTACTAATTTTTCGCGTAGCTTAAACGTAACTCAATTTTTTGAATTAAACGTTTTGGAGCACTGATTTATCAGAAATGCCCCCTCGCCGCTGGCTGTGGCTCAGTGGTAAGTTAACAGGCTTGTAACGCTAAAATTCTAGTTTCGATACCTGCGGTGGGCAGGGCACAGATAGCCCGTCGTGTAGCTTTACACTTTACAACAAACAAACAAACTTTCCTAAATAGCTTTCCCTATTGTTAAGGACTGACCAGGAAATCCAAAGATGCTGTTCAGAAATAAAAGTAGGTGGCCATCCTGAACGACTGTGTCCAGAAATTTAAACTCGGCGTATTTATTTTTCTTTTTTGATTTTGGTATTTTTTTCACAGATAGGTTACTAGTGATGGTTAATGTTTTACAGACACGTTCTCTGACAAATCAAAGAAGAAACGCATGCGCATCTGTCACTCGATTCGTATTTGCTGCTTCAACTTATTTGTGTCAGTCATGTTACTGTGACTCGTTTTCATATTTGTAAACAGCTGTGAAAAACGAACATGCTTCGTATTAGCATATAATTTTTACACAGTTTTCGTGGGGGATATTTTCTGTCATCTAAACAACAGTTCGTTCGTGGAAAAAAAACAACTTTTTCTTTGTGTGATTGTATATCTACTATATATATATATATAGGTCATTCCCACTCCATATTTTGCAGTATGCTTACAGATGAGAGCACTTAACATAGTTTTATATAACGAAGTATTAACTTTAAGGTTATTATAATACAGGTGTGTATCACGCTACTATCATGCCGCCGCATCTTAGGTACTACTGTATGCTGATCACAAGCGTTTCTTTTTAACGGTTTAAATAATGCTTACACGAGAAACAACCTCTACATAACAAAAAATAAATTGGTTTGAACAATAACTGAACTAAAAATTAAGTATGCCACAATAACTTGATAAAATGCAACTTTGGTTGAGTAAGAAGAAAATTAAGTGTTATATGATTACAATGAGTTAGTGACACACATTTAATAAAAAATTAGGGGGCATCCATAAAGAACGTACTGACAATGAAGGTTTCAAAAAAAGGTGGGAGAGGGGTTTCGACGAAAGCTTACGTTCGCTTTTTGAGAAAATCTGAACAGCCTTGTACATTTTTTCTGCATTTTTTGTTTCATAAGGCCTCGTTACGTCGCAGTGATCGAATACACCAATATCACCTAGTACCTGAAGCAGAAATTTTGTCCGTTTTTAATGCTTTTTTTAAACATATAAACGAAATAAAACTTTTTTTTTTCTTGAGAGGAAGGAGATTTATCGAGGAAAGAGGAGCAGGTCTGAACAATTGCGTACAAGGGTGAAGGGATTGAAAATAAAGCCAAAATGTTTGCGTACGTATATTTATGGATGCTCCCTTATAGCTATCCGAGTATGTGGTTGTCTGATTTATCTAATAAAATTAACAGTTCAGTTTAAACCTCGCAACAGAACAGAGAAACTGGAACAGGTTCCTGTCACGTGCTACAAGCTAGAACCTTGAGAGGTGAAGTGTGTTGTTTACTTGAAGCGTGTGCCACGTGCGCAAGTGAAACGAGGCCACCTCCATTCTTGATAGTCGCGTGAAAGAAAGACTCCGTTTTCGAAATCTATGTTATGTGGCACATTTAGATGTCGTTTACATTCATTTAATCAGGGCTAGGATAGGCTGAAGCTCAGATAAAAATATTAAATTCATTCTTTAATGTTTTTCTAACTACTTGTTAAGTAGTTAAAATACTCAAACGAGTGAACTTAAAAAAACTTTGATCGTTTGAGTATTTTATTTAGTTTTTACCCAAGTACCTTGAATTTACAACCTTTCAAGTTAAGTAAATATACACATATAATGAAAGTGGAAACATTTATTTCT